AAGTCTACCAAGTTTTGCTTCAGTAGGATATGGAAAGCACAGGAAACATGCACCAAAACAGAAAATCTCTAAGAAAGGTTCCATATTGTCTGCTCAAGAGAAATATGGTTTCTATACATATGGTGTTGCCACCTTGCTGTTGATTGTGTTTCTGAACTGCCAAACATTTCATTCAGTCTCTCTAGCTTTCACTGAACCAGAGAGGTACCTTCTACTCTCTCTTCCCACCAGGACTACAGTTTCTAACATCTCTTGCTAGAGCCTGGACTACCTTGGGTAGGCTTTGTTTCGGCAGAAATGGAGACAAAGGAGGCAGGGACAAACCATGTAACAACCTCCTAGACAAAATGTTAGGATTTAAGCACAATACCATAGATATGCAGTCCTGTGGGGCAAGGACAGTGTTGTGAGGGAGGATGGAAGCCAGAATTCAGTCCTTCATGAATCACCTCTCCAAGGCCCTGCTGTTTTTCTCTTCATGATCCATAGACTAATATTCTCTGCTGCTCACATTCTGCAGCAACATTTCCAAATAATTATACTCAGAAAATTCTGAAACAGATGTTTTCAGTTGTCTTCTCACTGGCAATCATGCTAGTTAATTAGGCTTGGCTTTAAGGGCTAGCAAAGGTAACTATGACAGATTGAGCATGAGCTGCATGGTGTGCATCTGCATTGTATATAGCATTAACAATCACATGTAGCTAAAGCATCTACAGATGTTTTCTCTGCATCTCACAAAACCTAATTACTTAAGTTTCAGAACACTTGTGATAGAGGGAATAACTATTTTCCTCATGCAACAGAAACGATGCAACCATAAAGGCTAAGATTTCTAAGGTCCACTTTCTAGAAGCAGTCTCAAAGCTTGATTAACTTGAGCATCAGTAACGGTAGGTTTGTTCTGGACCTGATTCAGTCCTATTCAATAGAACTGGCTTTTAAAATCACTTCTGGAAATCTCCAGAGCTGCTGCTTCTGCCAGACTCCCTGGGAGCTGTGCCACATGCACATGGATGGATGGAAAACTCTTCTTTGACTTCCCAAAGCGTACTCATACTGCAGTCCCAAAATTGCCACATGATCAGCAGATACAGGGACGATCCTTGCTTGGTCCTTGGTCTTGCCACTGACCCCATTGTCATCCCACAGGAACTGGCTGGCCGTTCTTTGGCAACACATTCCTGACTCCTAGATGTGCCAGGAACACACAGTGACTTTTGAAAGTAATGCAGCTGCATCTACTCAAGAGTTTCCAGCCTTGCACCATTTCACCCACATAGATCCAGTGCTCTTTGCTGATGCTTTCTTTCAGTTGAAAGAGTTTGATTCCCCCACCCCGCAAGCCTCTTCAATTAGTGCAGTACATGGCTGAGACCTGCACAGCTTGAGCTTCTACATTGCAGTCCCACCCCATCTTTTCTGTATGTGACCCATGCTATGCAAGCAGACCATCACAGGAGGCCTGGCTGGAAGTATTCCATCAGTTTTCAGATGACAAACACATCCTCATTTAGATTTTGAAACTTCTGAAAAATACATGAGAAAGTATGTGAAGAGGAGATGGTACTCTGTTTTCCAAACATTTCTTGGAACAGCTCTCGTCTGAAGTGCCTGTTCACACACTGATATGAAGCTACGTTACACCCAGAACAACAGGGAAGCATAAAGGGTCCGTTTTGCTGATGGTATGATTAATTCCTGCCCCAGTGCAACCTCAAAATTTAACTGAATTTATTCATTTGCAGAGAAGCAGCAGATGTTCAGTCTTCCAGCTTGGCCTACCCTCTGGAGAAGACATGTGCAAAACAAAGTTCAAGTTTTTCAACTGTCTACATATAGCCTTATATACACTTAAGAAAACAGGCACTGCTTCTTGCACAAATCACTCAAAAGAAAAGTAAAATTCCTTCTTTTAGGCACTTCATCTCAGCAATAACGGCCATTCCAAGAATTAACTCTCTCAGAAACCAGCTCTGCCTGAAGAACAGACTACTACTAAAAAAAAACTGGTTGCACACACAACTTAGATTCACACAGCGTATCTTTCCAAGACACACAGCTTGCATGGTGAGAAAAAAAGCACTTGAAATGTCATGTTGCAACATTTGCTGGTGATACTGATCATGCATTATTGTAATATAAAATACTTGACAATTTTTTTTGTACTACTTGCCCTGGTGGAAGATGACCAGTAGTTGGCCCTCTAGGACTTCTGTGAAGTCTGTGGAGCTGTCTCGGCCTGAGCAAAGGGATTCCCCAGGCTTTGGAAGATGATGTAGACAATGTCACCACCACGATTCCTGTTCACTTTCATTAGATGAAGCCTGGTTTTTTTAGATCAGTGGAGCTATTTTAGTTTTTATGTCCTCAAATCTTGCCTCAATAACAGTACTTGATGGTCAGTTTGCAAGCTGAAATCATCTCTATCTCATAAGAAAATAGAAGTCAAGCAACTAGATGCAAATGAAGATATATCCATGTGTGGGGTTTGAAAACACAGTCATTTTGGGAGGTAAGGTTCTGTGTGGTCACAGTTAACCCCAGTCAACTGTAATAGCATCAGAATTCAGTTTTGTTCTAGTTTAGTTCAGCTTGTTAGAAAAAAGTTGCTACTTTTGGGTGTTGTTTTATTTTTTTTTCTGCTAAGTACTAGAGCTGAGGGATTTGAATGTTTACAGAGAGATGAATATATGACAAGAATATTTTTCAGAAACTCCAAATGGAGATAGAAGTTACAAAATGCTTCTCTGAAGCTAATAATCCCTTCTATTTCAAGTACTGACTGGGCTGGTTTTGCAAAATAAGCATTTCTTTAAAAAAAACAGTTGCATGCTTAAAATGTCTGCAGTCAAGAGGAGGACAGAAAGCAGTTAAAGGATCACCTAAAAAATACCAACTTATATAAAAAAAAAAAATAAAAACAATTTAAAAGGTTAGGAAATAAATCCAATCCTGAGATTAAATAATTGAAAGCTATGCAAATTTGCAGAAGAAAGTCTGGCTAGAAAGTTTCATATTTATTTTTAAAGATAAAATAATTCAAATGCAGGAATCTTTTTAAGATTTCTCCTTGCACCACTGAGACTTTGGAAAGTGCTTCATTTGAAGTAAATTTGGATGATGTCGTTGGAGATGCATCCGTTTACTCCATCTGCACCTCAGGAAGCAGAAGACAGGAAGCAATACCCTGTACAGGACAGACAGAGCCAAGAGAAATATTTTATTCTCCATCTGGTTGCAATAGATGCAATCAATCCTGAGTTCTGTATGGCTCATCACCCACCACTTGGAAAATTCCTGCGTTGTCACAAATGGGGACTGGGAGGCAAAATGACACAAACATCATGAGAAATTACAGTGTGCTGCAAAGGCCAGCATCGGAGAACATTACCAAACACCAAATATCCAATGATTGCTGTTGGCTTTGCCAGTAAAATTAATACTCATCCCTTCCCTGACTCAGAGAAAATTTTTTTGCAGCAAGCATTAGATATTAAGCACTGCCACCAGACAAGTACACAGAGTTAGACAGACTAGCAATCTACTCAAGAGCAAACCCCTGATTTTTTTATCAAAACCCTTTTAACCAAAGTACATATCATGTTTGTTCTATTCTTCTACCTGCTATATTCCATTCCTCTTAAAACAAAATACAGTCATTACTCAAGTATTTTTGAGGTGACAGGAAGAAAATTTCACATGGATGAAGAGCCAGAGTGGCGATGGCTGCTGCGCGTGTGCTAAGCAGAGGATGTGAACTGATAGAAGGAACCTCCATCCATCAGCTCTGTTCTGGTCCATGTGGCTGTGGTCCTGGACATGACACCCCCACAGCCCAATCAGTCACCTAGAGAATGACAACACCATGTCCCTACCTTGTTTCAAGTACATAGAGATGCACAATGCATTGCTTTGAAGGAATGGCAACAGCTACACTTGTAAAAGATGCTCAGAGAAGCAATAAGTCTTCTTGAACTCTTGCCAGAGAGGCCCAGTGGCTCAAGATATTAGGGCACAATAATGATCTCCAGGCATGATTTTTCCCCAAATTAAAACTACATTCTTTACATCTACCACATTAGGACAAGATAATAACTTCAAGCTTATCCAGCAAATTGCAGTCTAAAAAATGGGTTAATGTCACAGAGTTTCTTTTTAGTCTGGATTCTCACCATTCTATTTAGAGCATGAAGGCCAGAGGCAACAAATGAAAAAGCAGGTCCCATGAAAATTAGTTTTGCATTAACAGCTGGGTGGGCCAGTGGAGCATACCACAGAGCTGCAACAAGGGATGTCTGGGGAGCTACAGCCCACCCAGCTGACACCATAACCACACCACACTTAGGTGAATGCTCAGTGTAAGCACACTCTCTAGCCATGTTTGCTAAGGCAAGAGCTCGGGTATGAGCTAACAGATTGCTTGTAAAAAACATCTGCAAGTCTTGAGGCAATTAAAGTTGTCGGGGGCAATGATACCAAATCTTTGATGCTTCTCATGAGTCCAGCCAAATTTCCATTTCACCCCATTTAGTTCTCATTGGTCATTTTCTCTTTGGTCAGAAACCTCAAGAAGACTCAAACTACTACACATTCTTACCTGTCTGTCATGTCAACAGGTGAAATATTACTTCAAATATGTGAAATATGGGCAGAGTAAACCTGAAAGAATCTTACCAGTCAGAAAAAAAAGTTGAGAAATATGTTCCTCAGCTCTGAGCAATTGTCAGAGATTGGGCATTTTCAAAGTAATATACCAGCAGTTACATGATGTGATGATTCTTGTGAACATAATATGCTTCGGTAAGTACAGGAAGCTATGCTAACATAGTGGTAGCTGTAAAAGGCACCATCATCTAAGTCATTGGCCATGACAGCAAGATGCAACAAGAGAAAATGTCACAGGCATGTCCTGGTATAAAGCTAGGCCAAGCTTTACTGATATTTCATTTGCTGTGGGATATGAGACATGCAAGCAGTGATAAAGATGGAGTAACTGCTCATTTACAGCAGAAGAACTTCACATTGTTGAGTCTTGTGTCATCCTGAAGCCCCTGAGTGGTCTCCACCTTGGTCTGGAGACTGCATATGTTGCAGCTTTTGCTCCATGGGCCAAATCTACCCCATAGCCTACTAGCACAGTGGCATCTAAGCATCTGAACTGGATGCTGTTGGCTGCTGTGTCATCACCTCCTCCTTGGGACTTCTTTGTTCTAAGTGAGAAGGAGATCAGGTAGCCTCCTGACAGCAAAGCAGACAGAGGAATGTCTGGGCTCTGCAAACCACTGTGAAGTGCTCCTCCTTACCATGCTGTCCCCAACCTTAACACTTCCTTTCTCACAGCAGTGACCAGCACAATGTCCTGCTGCAGTCTGGGGCACCTTATTTTCTCCTTTTTTTTTTTTTTTCCTTCCCTTCCAAGGGTGTACTTTTCTCACAAGAAAAACACCGGGAAGTCTGATATTGGATAGTCACGGCTGTGGTGGAAACTCTGAGGACAGCCTGAACACATGTTTTATGCTGAATCCTTGACCCGTCTGACAAGTACACACCAGGCAGCGGGGAAAGCAGACACGCTGCTGTCTGGAGGTGCAGTGCTGTTCACTGCAGCAGGGCAAGGGCTTCACCCAAACAGTTTCTAAATGTGTGGTTAAAAAATCCTTTCCTCCTATTTGCCTCATGTACTGCAGATTTCCAAAGGGGGACTCTCACCCTAGGACTATACTTTGGGTGTTCACAATGCTCTGTAAAAATTACAAGAGCAAATAGAAGGTGGTAATATGAAGTAACCACATTTAATTACCCTAAAAAATTAACTAACAAAAACCCTGACCACCTGTTTGAATGTACTTTATACTCCAGCACTATGCAGACAAAGCAAGTCAGAGAAGAGACCCTTGCAGATGGTGACACCTATGGATATTTTGTGAACCGGTGCATGACAAACAAGGGAGAAACCACAGTGCTACTTACTCCCCCATCAAGGACTCCATGACTGAGTTATCTTGACAATGCAAATGTATGCCATTCAGAGCTGTGTCTTTACTTCTAAACTGGGAGGATTCCATGTGCAGTAGAAGACACATAGGGACAGAGGTAAAGGCAAGGTGGAGAAGACCCAGGAAAAGTCCTTTAAGTACCAGTCATAAACAGTCTTGACTCCTTTCCATAATGAGAAAGAGAAAATGCCTTGGGAAGCACATGGGAAAAGATGTCTATCACACTGGGAAACTGCAGTTTCAACTTTGTGTTTTCTGACTATTTCTGACCCAAAGCATGAGGTAGAGACCCTGAGCCCCAGGAGAGATGCTGGAGGAGGCCGCCTCTCTCCCTGAGTCCAGCAGCAGGTTTCAGCACTGACATGGCTTCTCCCAGTAACATCAGCCATGTGCAGACCGTGCATCTGCCAGCATACCTCTATCCAGTTTGAGAGCAAAACAATTCTGGTGGTGGCCCTGGTTCTGCTGTATCTAGTGGGAGGCCTCTTTTCCTAAAAACATACAAATCATGGGGTTTTTTACTGATGTAACTACACTGGCAACATTTTCTAGGCTAAATTTTCCAGAAGACTCATAGTTTTATGTACAGAGTGCCATAGTCAGGAAGAGGAAAAACTCTGCAGAAAGTCTTTAGATTTGGAGAAGACCCTCCCAAGAGGTTGAGAGCTATAGACCAGGGCACAGAGACAGGAGATAGTGAGCAACAGGAGTGCAATTCAGCACAAATGCATTAGCACAGCCATAGTGTCAAAATTGCCGACTCCCCCACTTGCCCCAGTGGCCTCCATCGGGCATGGCGAGGACATAGGTGTCTTCACGCGCACCTGTGCCTGGGGTACAGAGGGAAAGGAGCAGGATGAGGGTAGCTGGGATAAGGAGGTTCATCTACTTGCACTCTGCATCTGCTGAAGGACAGCTGGTATGTGGTCAGGGGAATGTATACCCTGCCAAGGCAGCTTGCCTTTCACCACCAGTCCATCAACAAACACCGTAGGAACAACGCCTTCTATCTGGGCAGTGACACCACACTTGCTGACCTTCTCACAGTGCCCATGAGGAGCTCTCCTGGGAGTTCAACAGCCAACATGCAGCAGATGCTGTGGCTGCAGGGGTATCCACCACCACTGAAGAGCTGCAGTGACAGATACATGCCCCTTGCAGTGCTCGTGGTGCCTGTAGAGCAACTTGGCAGAGGC